AAGAAATATTCAAACGAATTGTCTCGCGGCCGCTTGGAAATAAATAAACAAACTCGATGCCAGGTTCTCCGAACGACCGACCGACTATAACAATTAACGACAATTAATTGCAGAATTGTAGTTCCCGATTCGTGAGTTATTCCGGTTCCGTCGATTATTCGCTTTTGTTTCCTTCGTCTCCTTCCTCGTCCTCCTCTCTTTGCCGATTCCGTTCCAATGGTCCAAACGCGACTTTCTTCAGAGGCACTGCGTGACGTGACAAGAGCTGTCAACGTTATTTTATTGTTTTAATTGATTCGAACTACGTCTGAGGTGGCTCTGCTTGAAAGTACGTTCGAATATTCACAAAACACACAGTGTTTTGAGTAGTTACTACTCAAGTGGCGAATTAATCTCTATAAACTTTGATTTCAAATGAAAAAGTTGTCATCTATGATAGTCATTTCAAGGTGAATTTCACCTAAGTGTGACTACACTATATCCATCCAACGAAAGAAGTAAACCAAACAAAAATAGATGCGTGATCAAAGCATGGTCACTATGCACGTTTGCATCTATTGGGCAAAATAAACAAGCCTCCTCACGCTGCCAATCAGATTTAACTGCAATCGGCTGGCGGGATTGATGTTATAGTGTATGAGTGGACAGTTACGTTTAAAAGCCTGTGGTGTGTATATATACGGTATTTTGAAGCTTAAAATTTTCAAAATGTTTGTACCGATACGGCTGAAAAAACTGCTGATGTGTGTCCCCACACTATACAAGGAGCCTTGTCTGGGAGGTCACGTGTACAATGTATGCTAATGTTTTGGATCAGTCTGTTGCTTAGATGATATGAACACTCATGGTTAAGAAATCAAAGGGTTTTTCAGGGTGGTCACTTTGTGAAAACCTAGGAAGTTTGGGAATGTCAGAAAATTGGGTGGTCAGAAAAAATTCAGGACTGAAAACATAATGGATATTTCGTTTAACTTCTTTCTGGCATTTTGTAACCAGAAATTGACGTCAGTTATTGTTTTAATTATAGGTATGCCTTTTTGAAGTGAAAGCCAGCTCAGGTTGACACAAATTCAGGTATTGAATTGAATTCAAAGATTTGTGGGAAAATCAAATTGAAGCACGTGCTTTAATCATATATACTAAAAAATAGTCGAAGGATTTCACTTCAATGAATCTTGAAAATAATTCAACGCCAGGAAACACTCATACTCATGTTGGCGACACCCCTGATTATTATAACTGGTTTAATAAGTCAAATCCTGAACCCCAGAACAAAACTTTCGTGATGCAATACCAGACAACGTTGTTTTGACCTTCCGTGGGTCTCGTCAGATGTGCTAAGCTGAACTAAGAATGCATTTACTGGACTATATTCAGGTTCAATTTTTTTTATTCTTTCAAAATTTGTATTCAGAAGTTTATTGCTATAAATGATCAAAAAACATTGACCTTGGCTGATAGTTTTCGAAAAGAAACTTGTTCAGTTCATTTTTATTTTATTTTTTCTGTTGAATGTTCCGAAATGATTTAGGAAAATGCTGTAAAAATTGATTACCCGTCCATGCTACTAGATGCGAGTCATTTGATATAATTGATTTTGAGTTTTTATTGTATATTTATGCACCAGATAAAACGTTTTGTGAAATTTTCATTTTGAAGAATTTTTAGGAAAATTTCTTTTAGATTTATACTTTTTGTTGTCAAAGCATAACTCTTCGAGAATACAACTCTATAGGACTGATATAATTCAAGGTCAATTCCACTGTTATAGGTTTTTTGTTAAATGAGTACTTTAATGAACCTCTCTTATGAGTAGTAAACCGAATACATTTTTATAAATCAGGACGAATCACCTCGAAACTTGTTGTACCCTTTTTTTAATTCTTCACACGAGGTTTCTTGGTATGCCGAGTGTATATTCGAACGCATTTTGTGGAACCCTCACATCTCGGCACAGGTGGCCTGGGCCAGGTGAGAACCGACTCCGCGTTCACATTTTTATTTGGTGTGTTAATAACTTTATGGTCGCTTTATCCATTATTACGACGACACTTCATTTTTATCTACGGTTTCACAACCCGCATTCGCCAGTTCACGCGTGTTGATAGGGTGGCGGTATCGTACGGCATTTTTTATAATAATAGTAATGACATATATTTTCAGTTGTTGTTTCAAGAAAAATACCTACTGAGACACGTCGTTTTTTCTTTTCAAATTACCATTAGTTGTCTGGCAATGCCAACTTTATTCATTCGAATGCCAAACCTATTGTATCTCGATTGGAAGCCTTTTTTCATACTGAATATAACTAAAAAGTTTTTCAAAATTGGTTGATAAATAATAGGCATTTACCAAAATATATTCAAGTGAGAAATTCAGAAGGCAAGGAAATTGAAATTAACTCCAGATTTTTCTCTTTTATCAGCCATCAATAGACAAAGATTTTCTGAACATTGCCTACCATTTTTATAGTTATATAGTAATGTTGATTCCGATCAGGAAAATAAATGGATCTAAATCTAGTGAACTATGTCGATTCCCTGCCAGGTGCTTTGGAGACTGGTTTCTAAGTGAATTATATTCACAGACATTTATGAGGTCTTCAGTGAGGCTAACAATCAGCTTTTTTCTTTGAAGCTTTGGCTTATCAGAACCGTTCTTGTACTGCCTCAATTGAAAAACTCAAACCATCAGAGTAAATAACTAGGTCGAAAGGAGTAAGTGTTAACATCAGGTGTTCCTCAATGCTCCCATTTAGACACTCTACTTTCTAAACGCCGACGAATTCAAAGATTACCTCTTAAGATAGTGTTTATAAATCAGACCCGGGTAGCATTGCAATTTGGTATTGCCAAAATGGTAAGTATGGCTGCAGATGTCGATAAATGTCTCGTTATGAGTTTGCATTGTTGTAAAACGCCGCTTAACGTTCTATATATTTCCTCAGCCATAAATAAGGCCTAGAAATATCAGAAACATTGTATTGCATGAACCATACTTTGAAAATTTACTTTTTCGAAACCACTCAAAATTTTTAACGGGTTCAGTACAAATTCTTCATTTATATCAGCCTCAAGCTCCGTACTTGTACCTTGACTAGAAGACACATATATTTACCTGTTTTCCAATTCTATTGTCCTAACCTTTTATAGTCTATGGTTTGCCACGTTTTCCGATTTCAAGAGCCACACGAAAGCTGGCGCGAGTTGCAGACTCTTGTTCAGTATTCGCTTTGGTAAATAAAGATTGCTGCGATTTGAGTCCGCGTTTCAAAGCTTCAAATTTTTCCTTCCGCAAACTTCCTGTATACTTGGAGTAACTTTGAAGATGTTTCGATTCATAGTGTCGTTTAATGTTATAGTCTTTTAGAACAGCTATGGTTTCATTACAAATTAAACATAGCGCCTTATTACTGGACTCAATCACAAAATACTGAAAGTTCCATTTTTCTTGGAACGTTCTGCATTCACTGTCGATTTTTCGCTTCTTTTTCATACTAACAAATCACACATAAAAACAATAAGTCAAATCAAAATACTTTTATTGACGGGTGATACTTTATTTCACAATAGACAGTTTCGCTTCCTTCGCCTTTCCTACGCAGACTAACTCGCAGTTGCGCCGCTAGCCTTTTTATATGCAATTATCACCATCTCGAGGTGATCGGAATACACTAGCTAGAACCAGAACTTTCTTGAACCTACGCGGTAATTCCAAATATTTAATTACGCCTAATTCCACCTAGTGGGTAGCTGAAAAAGATAGTACATAGTACCATTACTCGCCACTAGATGTCGTTAAGTGTCACAATACACAATAATAATGCAAATGCAAAAAAAGAGTAAGTTTGCTTAGGTCACGCACTTTGCGACTATCCTAGTCTAGAAATATAGTTAAGGGCAGAAATTGGCCCTTGGAACAAACTGAAAAAATAATTATGGCTCGAAGGCTTTAAAGTTTGGAGACCCCTGGTCTAGTGCATCAATTACGCTCCACGCCTTTTTTTGAAAATCCTTTTGATTTCAGTTCATTATTCCAAAGGAGTAGAGGAGCATTGACAAATTATACAGGGTGTTTATTGAACATGCGGCAAAAATTTAAGGGACTATTCCTTCTAAGGATATTTTGTCCAGGATCGTTTCTGATTGTGTTACACCCAGCAATTATCCGATTTCTCAAATCTTCCACATCTTTCACTGGAGTAGTATAAACTAGTGACTTTAGGTGGCCCCATAGGAGATGATCCAGGGGGTTCAAGTCCGGTGAACGAACAGGCCATAAATGAGGTCCACCTCGACCAATCAATCCGGCGATCTCCGTATGTTACTGTTGAAAACTCTCTAGCCAAAGAATTGCCATCAGCAAGTCAATTGATGAAATGCATGTCAGCATATCTGCGTTACTATAGCCATTCACGATAAAGGACTTCACTAATAAGACTTTAAATATTAAACACAGAAAATGACAAAGTCAAACAGTTTCAACCTATTCTACACATACAAATAATCACTTACGAGACATACACTGGTAAAAATTTTTCCACCGGTACCGGTGGCAATTTAATTACCGCCCACATTAGCGAGAAATTACTTTCGCGTGTGATCTCACATTCTATGCGGAATATTATTTTGTAATTCTACCCCGAAGACAAGTGTGGAATTTTTCAGTGTAATTTTTCATTTTGAGTGTAATTTTGTGTTGAAATAAAACTTCATAGGGTAAATTTGCGATATAAATTTATATCGAGATATTACACTCTTGACAGAATTTTACAGTAGAACTTTACACTCTTATATAATTTCACAGTGGAATTCTATACTCTGATAAAATTTAACATTGTAATTATTCATTTACGGGTTATATTACCTTGGGATATTCCGTTGTAAGAAGGTCCGTATTCAGAGTAGTTTTGAAGATAATGATACCTCAATCGGATGTTGACTCTTGACTCTTAAGTGGCCATTTTTCCTCATAATTTAGATAATTGAATGCACAAGACATATTACACATTGATATATTAAAAAAATGTGTATATACAAAATAAGTTCATATACATTCTTGAAATGAAATTCTACAAAACATTTTTTTTTCATTTTCAAAAAAGTCAAATAACAGTACAAAATAAAAAAACCATTCTTCAAATTAACACATTTTCTTTCTTGCTCATGGTGGTATTATTCGGAAAGAGAAATGAAAGTGATATTTCTTTTTCTTTTTTCCTCAATTGCTGTTATTATCCTAAAAGAGAAATGAAATATCATCAAATGAATAGGTTTAGAAATCTAAAAACACAGTAAGTTGACGAACACACATTCCTAGAGAGAAACTACTACTAGTTTGAATTCAATATTAATATTTCTCAAAAATTTTTGGATACATATTCAACCGTTTAAATAAAAAATTAGATTTTTCCAAATGTTTTCCAACATTTTCTGAAATATAGCAAATATAGCTATAATGATATGGTATAAAGTGGTGATGAAGTGTTTTGTTCATCTCTTCAACAGAAACAAAAAGGTCCTAAAGTGTTTCTCGATTCCTTCAATTTTGAGTTCCAACTTGCCTCCCATCGCAAAAATGTTTTCAAGTTCAATAATAAGAATCACAAATCCTCAAATTTATCCAAAATTATGAGAGATACGAATAAAACATTCAGATATTTTTTAGGTGAATGAAATTACGATTTAACATTGTCCGATATTTGCAACCACCAATACGAAACTTTATTCCTCATCAAAATTCATTTTTAAAATGGATCGTGCATACGGCGTCACTGATGAGTCACGCCACTGCTATCGAGTATATCTTTTTTTCTCTTTTTCTCAATACCATTCAGTAATTATCACAAACATTTTCAAATATATGTTCTGTAATTATTTGAAAATCAGTTAAAATATGTTGTACTATTCATACAGTATGAAATAATTCGCGATGTGAGGTTAGGATATACTTGTAATAAAAAAACACTCTATAATGCATAACGAGAAAACTCAATGAATTCATCTGTTTATTGAACTAGTTATTGAAATTTTACAAGAAATGTACTCACCTTCTTTACTTATTTTCACCAACAACAAAAATATTCTAATGCACACGTCAGACAAACCGATGCGCTTCTGTAGACAAGAATGAACAATACAATAATCACTCACAAATACAAGCGTAATTTTACATTCGATAAAGAGATGGCGAAAATTTACATTTCACTAAGGGGGAATACCCATCGTCCAGTTAGTTCTTCTCTTCACATGAAATAATACGTTATGATTTCACACATATATTAGATGAATATTTAATTCTCAATGAAAAGTACATTGCCTACTGAAATTACGCTCGGGGATGTGAATTATTCAATAGAGAAAGTATATTTTCAATAAAACTGAAGTAATTTTCTTCGTTCGAAATGAAAATTCCGAGGTAAATTTCAATCATTTTTCCCGGTGTACTATTCGAATTGAATGTCTGCAGCCGTTTGTAGTGAACGGAATGGTGTACCAACGGAATTGTTAGATTTCCTATTACTTGGTAGATCCAGTGTAGTACGCTATACTTTGATTTCGGCTACGTTAATAACTTTAAAATTACCAAAAATATCCTTAGAATATTCCAAGAAATAGTCCCTTAATTTTTTGCCTTATGTTTAATAACCTTTTTGGAAAAAAAAAGCTTCTGGCTTTCTACTTCTCCATATTCATACAAAAATTGTGAAAAACTTCTGAAAATAACTTCTATGAATGACCTACACATCTTTGGAAGTGTTTATTTTGGACTTGATTGCTTTTTTCTTCCTTTGGAATTTTACTCTTTTACTTTTTTCTCAAAAACTAAACTCTCCTAAAAATATACCACTTTTAATATGAATCATTATTACCTTTCAATAAGATATTACTCTATATATTTTCCAATGGAGAGTGAAAATTAAATAATAGGGAAAAATTGAGTTTTAACACATGTATGATTTAGGTAGGCGGTGGAAAATGGTTTTTCAAACATGCCCAATATTCTTTCAGAATATTAGGCATTTTCAGAAAATTTCTTGTTGAGATTTACTTAAAAAAACGACTTTTGCCAAATCAAATAATTCAACTGTCCATATATTTGACGCCATAATTAGTCCATAATGGTACTGATGCATTTAATTGAAGAGAGTCAATTCAGTTCTAAACTCGAAATATCGTTTATAGTTCCTTATTCAAAATCAAAATACAAACCTGATTTAGAAAATGCTCCGAATATTCAGATCGGTAGTAGCGAGATGAAGTGAAGATATAATAAAGTTGTTATATGAAGTATAGTTGATAAAATTAAGGGAAATTTTAAAAGCGAGTTATTTACAAAATTTCCATTATGCTAATGCTATTTTCCGTTTTTTTTTTTGGTCGAGGTTTGCAGGTTTTCATTCCCGACGTTTCGTCTACTACTGCGGTAGATACTATCACACGTGATGAGATAACGGTCTATCTTTGATAATGTGTACCGCTGTAGTAGTCATTTTTTGAGAATTTTCGATGTTTATGTACCCGAAAGTCTACTCACTGATAGTAAGAATAAGGAGCAAAATTGTTACGATTAACCTCTAACTCTTTCTCTGTACAGAGTTTCTGTCATCATTGTACCATCTTCATGCAATGGCCGTCTCATTAACTTGCAGCAAGTAGAAGTTTCGGACGCTCCGATCATGCTGTGAATTTACTAGGACGTCCATATAGTGTGATATTACAACAGAAACTCTAACAATGAACGTAATAAGGTTCTGCATTAATTCTTCTCGATTCTCGAGATGAAAACTGTTGCGGATTCAATAAATCAGCACCCAGTCGATTAGCTTGTCTGTAACGTACTCAATACTGTTCGGAATAAATTAAAAGACTGATGGAAAAAAGCAAAAATAATACGAGCTCGGTGTTCGTATTTGTTGCCTTGAGCAAGGATAACATCGTAAATTAATATATTTAAGTTGGGACATAAATCTCGGGAACATTAAGTCACATTTTCATAATTGCATTTGGTGGTTCTTCTCAGAGCTAAGCGATCGCATTGGGATTTTTTTTTCATACCGGGTGGCCCGCTTATCAAAATCCACCTGTAGATTAGGGCTTGTGAGCATCAAAATGTCACCATTGAAAATGTATTCTGTACAAATCCTGTTTCTAACAGGAGTTAGAAACAGCCTTTGTTGAAGTGCAGATTTCCGGGGTTTTTTCTCCTCGATGTCAATTACAGTAGATATGTTGTTGTTTTTTCTCTCGGTGTCATCGGCATCGACTACAATGGTCATTAGACTCGTATCCTGGGTAGTCAATGTTAATAACTCCTCGAGCCACCTAAAGAGCATGGGATCATGTTGTTATTCACTTCCATCTGTTGTTGAACCCAGTCACACGAAAATTTACACTTCCTCTTTTTTTGTTTTTGATATCACGATCAAAAATCTGCATGATCTTCACGTTGAAGATCTGATGGAATCTGATTGAACCTATAGTTGATGAAAATCTATTATACGACGTATTTAGAAAACACAATTCAATGTGAGATTTACAAAACCGTCAAATCTGTGGGGCAAACTGGTTTTAACTTGCTATTGCAGTGATAGCTAGTGTAGTAGCTTATCTGGTTTTTTTCTACTAATGTTTTGATCATATACTATTATTCTGAAATGGAAATAAAATTTCTCGATTTACTTAGCGTTAATTTCAAGAAAATTCGGTGTCACTTTGATTTTCTTTATCACATATCAGCACTATTGATGCAGTCGTACTTGAATTTGTCTCTAACCTGATATTTATGGACCTCGATAATTATTTGTGTTGAAAAATGTAGAAAATACAGAAAACTGTACACACCTCAGCAATTTTTGATGTTGTATAAAGCTCAGATCACACGTTCTTTGGAGTATTGTTCTCATGTATGGAGCTCCGCCCCTAAGCTGCTGGATTCTATCCAGAAAAGATACTTTCACGGAAGGTGTCCAAGAGACTTGGCACATTTGATTCGCGATGGACTGTGGCTGCTCATATTTTGAGGTTCAGTATACCTTGAACTTCACTGTTTAAGAACTCTTTCATTTGGAGAAGTGCGTTTATGTGGAATAAACTTCCTAAGAACGTTTTTCCAAATGAATTTCAATCTCCAGCGATTCTCCAGTGCTTGTGTTTTGTCATAATTGAAACAGTCCTCTTTTGAAAAATTGCGATGGATAAAAAAATTATCCTCTGTTCATATATCTACTAATTCTGGTATCTGTACCTCTGGTGTCTAAAGGTTCTTTTTAAAACACCAGGATTTTCCAGAGTAGCTCTTTTGAAAGTGATCCAGGAAAGTATTTGAATGCTTTGAGGAACGTTTGACTTTTTGTAATGTTAGGGTTATACTTATTGTACAATCTGCATGTGCAACTACCAGTTGGTGTGGTTCTTTTTGGCTCGTGAATTTAATCCAGATGTCGCCACTGAACAGAAATTGCGCTTAGCTCGCCCACAACCAACAACAACTGAATTCCTGAAATCATAATGGTCATTTGCTGTTCTGTCCCATATATAATGAAAGAGATATATGTGTGTACAAGTTGAATTACTTTCATGTTCCCCAAACTTCGATTCTAAGGCTTAATTCAAGTTTCTATGTAGGTGAACTAGGCTACTTTTTACACATCAACTTTTCTATATTTTTTTGAAAATTTTGAAGAGATTACGGTGCAGAAAAATACTGATCTTTTCAAAACCGAATTAGAATTCCTCAATTTGGGTTATTACAGCAAATGCAAGTTTGAACAAAATAAAGTTGAGTTTAATTCATGAGTTTTTCAAATTCACTTCGAAAAGTATTCAAATTGATGTTTCAAATGTTGGGTTTTAATTTTCAAAGGGATTTGTTTCTAATTCACATATTGGTAACAGCGCCTATATCAAGTTGGAATAATTTATACGTACCAAGCTAAATATTCTACTGTAGAAAAGGAAAATTATCTTTATAAATCAACAATTAAGGCAAAATATAAATTATAGTTCAATACCACCTCCACAAGGCACATAAGCAACAGTTGTTTTGTTATTTATTTATATAGAGGAAGATAGGTTAGGTGCACAAAAAGTCATAAGTAAACAGAACAGCACGACTCTGAAATATGTCATCTTTGTTTGTATCATACAGGTAACAGATTCATTGCCCTTTATTAGCTATAACCGATGTTGTCAATGGTAAAATAGAAACGAATCCCTTTAAATGTTGAAAGCATTATTTCATTCCTCTTTTTTAAGTATTTAATTAATTTTTTAAACAATAAGGTTGAAATGATAAGTTTAAAATGCGTTGTTTTAGAGCTCTTTTATGAAAACTACTTGTGCAAAATAGTATAGAACAAAAGTTCCTGAGTTATCGAATGCTCTGCAAAAGCTTTCAGTTAAAGTAAAAGGGGAACCTTCTTTATTACGGTTTTGGCGAAGGTGAAAGGTCCACATTTCACGTTCCGTTGAACTATGAAGATGTGAGCCCATATACATTCATTAAATGAAATGTATGTACCTATGGTGATTAATAACATCTTTCTGACTTACCAGAAATCAACTCTGGTGTATCCCAGGGTTCCATCATAGCACCGATCCCGTATTTGTTTCATATGATACGTTAGTTTTACAGATAACAGTGTAGTTTCTACTGTTTGGATGGAAAAGTCTACCTTGAAGCAATCAAGTTGTCATGAACGAGGAACTATTGAATATTGTTAAATGAAAATCTACCAATCCCGTGGATTTCAATCCAAAGGCTCATGTGTTGTTCAGTCGCTCAACTTGTAGTACTTCTTAGCCAAGCAGCTTTTTCCATGTCTGATGTGCTGTGCTCTTCTTGATACTAGTTTTTATTTCTTTTTCAGTTTGACCAACAAACTACTTCCTTGGAATGATATTACATATTGATTTTGAATTTACTACTGTTAAGTAGTAGTCACTTAAAAAAATATTCCAAATGTTCTACGCCTCTATGAATTGGCTGAAAAACACGAGATGTTTTTTCTATCGAGTCATCCGGTATAAAATCAGTTTATGAATTTCGAAGCGAGCTTGTAGAAGTGTTTTGTCAGTTTTACAAGGTTTGTTTATATCACTGCTATATCTCAAAATCTCGTTATTGTTGTATTTACTGGTCGGGTTAATGTTTTCGAACATAATTTGCATGGAAACGGGCTCGGTTTGAGATATGGCTGCCAGAATGAAGAAGAGTTTGTTCTGCTCGGTGTACAGGGCTCACTAAATGTACTGTTTCTGAATTAGATGAATTTGAAATATTTGTAGTTTTTTAAATTTTGCTAAGAAATGTTACAGCTTTTATGACAATGTTTTTGTGCTTTCAAAATTTCCTCAAGTTTTTCTTCTCCTACTGACTCCTGTGCTAGTTCCATTTATAATTCAAAACTTTACT